GTATGTCTGTCTTTATGCCAGTACATTGTTTTGCTTGCTGTAACTCTGTATAGGTCTTGAAATCAGGAAATGAGTCCTCCAACTTTCTTTTTCTTTCTTTTTGGATATCTGGGACCCCTTAAGATTCCATATGAATTTTAGAACGAGTTTTCTTTTTTTCCTTAGCATGAATACTTTATGTTCTTTTTATAACTTTTTTTTTTTTTTTTTGCGGTACGCGGTCCTCTCACTGCTGTGGCCTCTCCCGTTGCAGCTCCGGATGCGCAGGCTCAGCGGCCATGGCTCACAGGCCCAGCTGCTCTGCGGCATGTGGGATCTTCCCAGACTGGGGCACGAACCCATGTCCTCTGCATCGGCAGGCGGACTCTCAATCACTGCGTCACCAGGGAAGCCCTATAACTTTTTAAAAATACTGAAGTATATTTGACTTACAATATTGTGTTAGCTGTATAATATAGTAACTTTTTTTTCAGAGTATATTCTAAGTTATTACAAGATATTGGGTATAATTCCCTGTGCTATACAGTAAATCTTTGTTGCTTATCTATTTTATGTATAGTAGTTTGTATCTATTAATCCCATACTCCTAATTTGTCCCTCTCCCAACTCCCCTTTGGTAACCTAAGTTTGTCTTCCATGTCTGAGTCTGTTTCTGTTTTGTATATAGATTCACATATTATTTTTTAGATTCCATATATGAGTGATATCGTATAGTATTTATCTTTCTCTGTCTGACTTATTTCACTAGGCATAATATTCTCTAGGTCCATCCATGTTGCTGCAAATGCCAATATTTTATTCTTTTTTATGATTAACATTCCATTGTATATGTATCACAACTTCTTAAGCCAATCATATGTTGATGGGCACTTGGGTTGCTTCCACATATTGGCTATGGTAAATAGTGCTATGAACATTGGGGTACATGTATCTTTTTGAATTAGAGTTTTTATTTTTTCCGGATATATACCCAGGAGTGGAATTGCTAGATGACATGGTAGTTATAGTTTTAGTTTTTGAAGGAAACTCCCATCTATTTTCCATAGTGGCTGCACCAATTTACATTCCCACCAACAGTTAGAATGGGTTTTTCTATTTCTGCAAAAAACTTTATTAGGGTTTTCATAGGGATTGCATTGACTCAGTAGATCTCTCTGGGTAGTATTTACATCTTAATAACATTAAGTCTTCCAATCCATGAATATGGGATGTCAGTTCATTTATTTATATCCTAATTTATTTTAACAATATTTTGTAGTTTTCAATGTACAAGTCTCTTGCTTCCTTGGTAAAGTTTATTTCTAAGTATTTTATTCTTTTTGATTCTATTGTGAATGGAATTATTTTCTTAATCTACTTTTTGGATTGTTCATTGTCAGTGTATAGAAATGCAGCTGCTTTTGTGTGTTGGTTTTGTATCCTGCGGCTTTGCTGAATTCATTTATTAGTTCTACTTTTTTTGTGGGCTAGTTTGATTTAAACACATTAAAAAAAAGTGTGGCTGCAGGATAAATTCATCACCATCTTGTTCAAGTGTATATTTTTCTTTAACAAGGTAACCCTAAAAGGATGCAAAATTTTGAGAGCAAACACCAGTGTCAAGAAGATTAAAATACGTAACCTAAGAATTTTTGCCCATATACCATCGTCAAAGATCCCGTCCCAGGTTTGCAAAATACCCAATTATTAAGTTCATAAAACTCAATTCCTGAATATATACAAAAATTACAAATCCTACTTGTAAAAATATCCTCAAACTTACTGAGTAATCCTTAAGATTTGACTTTCAGGCTAATATTGAGTGATATTTGATGAGGATATCCATCTAGAGGCCACAAAAACATAATTTTTATTTCAATAAATATTTGTTGAATGGTGTGGGGTGATGTTTAGAATTTAAACTCTGGAATTTGATAGATCTAGATTAGAATTCTGGTTCTCTCACCTGTTAGTTGTGTTGGTACTTCCCTAAACCATTTTTGCTCCACTTTAAAAGTGAGACCATAATATCTGCCCCACTGAACTGTGTTGAATGAGATAACTCTATTCAGTAAATGTTATTATGATTGTAAGTAGACTACATGTTGTCACTATGCTAGATATTGGGAATAAAAGATGTGTGACACACTATCTGCCATCAAGGTGCTCACAATCTAGGTGGGAAAACTATAAAGAAAATCAAGTAATCTCAATATTGTACTACAGTAAAAAAATATGTGCAAGAAGATGAAAGCTTGAAACAGAGTGGTATGTTGGAGATAAATGTAAGGCTATGACATGCTCAGATATGAAATTTAGGTTGTTTGGCTCCTATGTAAAGGATGGATTGGAGCAAGTGAATCATAAGCAAGCCCAGTAAGGGGGCTATGATAATCTAGGCAAACTGTGTGTGGCAGAACAATACAGACTGAACAGGAGGGTGGCAGTGTAGAATGGAGCTTTGCTGTGCCTAGAAATATAAGCTCCTTTCTGCCATGGCTTGGGAGATAACACACTTTAATCATCTTTCATCTTCACCTTAATCATTTAGGGAGTTCTAAGGAACCCTGTTTGATTCAGGGACCATTTACAATGGAGGAAAACAGGCTCAGATAGCAAGGCCATCATTACACTAATATAGGGGCATTAGTCACATTATACTCTATGAAAATGGCAACCCCTGGGACACAACAAATATGAATGGTGAACCCCCCAAGTTGTGCATTACAGTAGCCCTACTGGAAAGATTATAACATAGTAGGTAATGGAACTGACCTCTATCTAAAAACCTGTGCATTTCCTACTATTCCATACTATGTCTTTTTAATTAAATTAATTAATTAATTTTGGCTGCATTGGTTCTTCATTGCTGCATGTGCCCCTTCTCTAGTTGTGGCGAGCAGGGGTTACTCTTTGTTGCGGTGCACAGGCTTCTGGCTGCGGTGGCTTCTCTTGTCGCAGAGCACGGGCTCTAGGTGCATGGGCTTCAGTAGTTGTAGCACATGGGCTCAGTAGTTGTGGCACGCAGGCCCTAGAGCACATGGGCTTCAATAGTTGTGGCACGTGGGCTCTAGGGCGTGAGGGCTTCAGTAGTTGTGGCTCATGGGCTCTAGAGTGCAGGCTCCGTAGTTGTGGCGCACAGGCTTAGTTGCTCCGTGGCATGTGGGATCTTCCCAGACCAGGGATTGAACCCATGTCCCCTGCATTGGCAGATGGATTCTTAACCACTGCACCACCAGAGAAGTCCCTATCCCACACTATGTCTTCTCATAATATTGTATTTATGGATATATAACACCCTTAGGGTTAAACACTGAATTAAAACAAAGAAACAAATCAAACACATCCCAATATGGGTTTTCACAAGAACCTGGTAGGCTTATTAAAATTAATTTAATGGAATCCCATAAATACTAGTTATTTAACAACAAATCAAGATGCTTGATGTATTCTTAAACCATTACTTAATGGGAAAAATAAGGGTAAAACAAATATAAGGTCCCAACTACTTACTTTGGGCTTCCCCAAAACAGATAAATGAGGAGCTTTATAAAAACGGAAAGGACTAACCATAAAAATTAAGATTATCAATCAACTTTCTATAGACATTTCTTGAATTATCTCAATATTTTAAGGTGAATTTCCCCAGAAAATTCTTCTATAGTTATCTTGGCAATAAATACATAACCTTAGTAAAAAGTAAATATTTAGTAACTACTTCATATATTAAAAAAAACTATGTAATTCATATTTATGCCAAGAACACTACAATTTATAGAAGTTTCATCCACATTCTTACCTATGCCTACTCACTCTGAAGGCAGGAACATTTCTTTGGGTTGAGTCAGGATCTCGATATGCTTTGTCCAGGAAAAGGGAAGGTATGAAAATATAAAACAAAAAAGAGTATTGGCTCATTGTATACAAGAGAGGGCAGCCATTAAGAGTTATTGTCAACAGGATAAAAGGAAATACTGACCAGAGCTCCTCTGGGTGAGCAGTTAAAATATGATCAAAATGTAAAAGAGGAAGAAGTATATACACACGAAGAACTTTTATGAGTATTGATAAAAAGACATTTCTGAAAAAATGATAAAATACCTCCTTGAGGATTTTCAGAAATGAGATTCACAGAACTACAGGAGCAGAAGAAATGTTGATTTGGAAACATCTCATTTGACTGATGATGAATTTCAAAGTCATTAGGTTAGGTGACCTGCCCAAGGTCATACGGTTAATGCCAGAGTTTGGACTAGGATCCAATTCTCCTGAATTCCACATGAGTGCTTCTTCCCCCCATTTCGTATACTACCTCTGAAGTTTCCCTAACCACTTGAAGTCCCCTTAACTCTCTCTGCCCAACAATGTGCCCTTTGGGGACAGTCAGAGGAACAGCATTCTGGACTATGTAGACCATGTAGAGCTACTGATCTAACAATGGATGAAGCATAATTTCAAAAAAAGACTAGGTTGAAATTCATTTGGGGGTGAGGAGCAGAGGGAAAATACAAAAGAAGTAAATTCTGTAGACAACAAAAAGAGAAGCACAAGAGGAAATATTATCCTCTTTTGTTATTTTATTACTGTTATTTTATTTTGTAGTTAACTCCATATATTATATAAAACATAACAGGGAAAATCAACAAATGTATAAAATAAATTGAGGTGTCTGGATGGAAAAAAATACAAGACCTTTGCCTTCGTGTCTATAGATCTCTTGATATGTTGGTCTTGCACTAGAGATATCAAATAAAGATATCTAGCTTGAAACAAAAGTTGATATGCTGCAAGGTTAAGCCATAGTTTGATGATGGGCCATGATAGACTTTCTAAATCTTATCCTTAAATATTGGCTATAACAAATGCTGATATAACAAAGTGCAAGCTTTTATAAGACGGCAAGAGGGAAGCGTCAATGAATGAATGCAACTTACCTCCAAGTCCTCTGAAAGGAGGTGAAAAAATAAATACTGTGTTTTACCAGTGTTCCCCCAAAGCATTACTCTAAGCATGCAGGAGGATGCTATGAGCAGCTACAATAGTAAGATCCAATCCAGAGGTAGGTTCAAGGCCAAGAGTAGAGGAGTGGTTGAAGAAATCCTCCTGGGGCCAGTACCATTTCATAGAATGCCCATTTGTGCTGGGGAATGAGTCTATGGCCCATTTTTTCTGATTCAAAAGGACATTCCCAATTTCAACCTTGCTGAAAAAGAGGCATTTTTGCACCTGCTATTAAGAACAGCTAGGATACAGGATAAGGCTGGCATAAAATTATTTAGCAAGCACATGCTAGCTATTCCAGTTTGAAATCTACCAAACTGTAAAATCAAAAGAATAAGAAGTTGAAGATGGAGCTGTTGTTCCTCAAGATGTGGGAACAATCTTACAAAAAGAGGGATTAGGCACTCACTTAACTCTATATGGAGAACATCCTTCTCAGGCTAGATGGAAGATGAGGAAGAGCATTACTAAAGGCTAACCAGGCCATTTAGAGACCAAAAGGGGAGAAAACAAGGCATTTAGGACAAAAACTAGTAGAAGAAATTCCTCTGGGTCTAACTAGGTAAGTGAATCTAAGGCAACTGCACCAAAGATATGCTACCCATTATGCCAGCATGAAGCTGGTGACAAAATATCTCAAGACATTTTAAACCCAGAAAAATGTATGAGAAATATGTTAACGAAGCAAATTAAAGCCAAACCTCCAAGGGTAAAATCTCCTGATTTGAAATCCAAGATACTCACTTTTCATTAATTCTGTGCATCATTAGAAAAAATAAAAAGTAACAAATGTAAAGATTTGTTTTATTTCTACTGGGGTAAGGAGGAGGATAAATAAAACTGTTTTCCAATTTGCTCTCCACTGTATACACACATACCCACACACATACATACACATACACACACTAAAAATACCCCAACAAAAAACAAAACAAAAAAACCAAGAATCAAAACCCAAAACACCCTCAAACTGCACCAACACTTCGTATTTTGACCAAAAGAATAGATCCTGGGAGGAAGTGCAAAATGCAAAATCAAATGATCGAAAAATGCTGAACAAACAGCATTATTAATATACAAAATATTTATATTACTGAACTAGTAACAGCTGATGTTCTCCGTGTCTGTAAAACTTTGGAACCACATAGCTGATTCGTTAAATCTAGTCCATGCCAGCTTCCAAAAACCAGAAAAAATTTTAGTTAGCTTCATTCTTTGATGCCTCATCAAAATTTTCTACGAGATCTGAAAAAAAAAGTAAATAAGTTAAAGATACACAAAAAGACAAAGAGGTAAAAATGCAATTACTAACTTCTAGCCTAACAAAAACAAAATTGTTGCTACTAGAATTAGCCTGAAAACATATAAGAGGCAGAAATGAATTGGTGGCATTTCACTAATAATGCTTCATTTATCTGCTTAAAACAGAAACCCTAAGGAAATGTTAGTCTTCTTTTGCCTATGCAAACTAAGGTGACTAGCATTTTCATATGTCAATCATAATTCCTACAGAAATGTTGTAACAATAACTATGCAAATTTATAATCACAATGATTCCAATTTAATAAAGGCAGATTCCAATTTAATAAATGCAGCAGAGCTTTGTGTGACAATTTCTAAGTTCTGAACAGGAGGGCTTTTATCCTGTTTCATTAGATCGTATGCACATCGTTGTGAATCCATTTAAATTCACAAGCTCACCATTAACAAAAAACTGAAAAATGATCATGCAATGAATTAAATGAGATAAACAGGATGCTAAAACTCTTAAAACTGAAGAAATGTCACCTACCTGGAACATCATCATCCTCCTCATCAATGTCTTCTGGTTTTGGTGTTTTGCTATCCAACACTACAAAAAGTTTATTTTAAAATTAGCCATTGAGAACAAAGACCCTTACCAAACACTTGTAATGTTTATCCTTTTTTCCTGTCTACATAGTTCTGGAAACAAATCTTACATAGTTGTTCAGAAAAAGCTAAATATTGCCTAATCTAAATGCCATATTTTTTTAGTTGATACTAAAATTAATGAAAGTTTAACTTCATTAGATATACACTAAATATGGTTGGCAATTTCAATGGGTAGTGAAGGTAAAACTTACATGCAAAGTGGAATAATTTAGGTGAGTTTAAATAAAGACATTATAGTTAATTAATTCTCCAAATTCCATATTCTCCAAATAAAAAATCAACATTCAAGATTTTTTCCATCTCTTTTGGTGTAAAACTATCTAGCTTTGTAGTATTAGCACTGAACTAATAGGCTCTGATTTTTTAGGGATGACAAGACACATTTGAAATCAGAACTATCTTGGACACTCAGAACTTATGCATAGTTGCTGCATCTATAGCACAATCAACAATATTCAATGAAAATATAGTTCTGTGATAACATTATCGTCTTGTTGTCATTAGTCAGAAGTGAATACCAAATCAACTGTTTATAAAATGTGGCCTGCAGATCCTGGCACTTTCCTTTTAGGTAATTACCTCCCAACACTCTATATTACTACCAAAATGTATCTGAATATTCTACATGCTACACTGCATAATTATTAAAGGAACAAACTCAAAAATTTATGAAGCATACAATATTACAAAAAGTAAAATTTATGTATAGGCAAATCCTTCTAGCATAAAATGGACACACCTTTTAAATCATTAGGTTCTTTAAGTAAGGTGAGGAGGGAAAGAGGTACTAAATTGAAATACCTACCTTGCCGAGGGAACTGTTCAGCTAACTTCCTAAGACTTGTTAAGCTGTCAGCACCAAGCTGACTTAATATTCCAGGAAGCATTTCTGTGATTGGTTTGGCTTCAGCATGGCCAGTAATCGCAAAGGTGTTAGCAGAAAGGGAAGCTTGGACTTTGGGATTGTTGAAATGAATAACTGTCCCATCATCTTTAATCATGTTCACCTGTGTGATCACAGAAAAAATGTATTTCACATATTTGGTACAACTTTAAAAATGTTTTAAAGAACATTTTATCCAATTACTGATTTTTACTTGGTAGTTAGTTATGCAATCCCAATGTAGTAATTATGTAAGCCGTGGATTTTGGTGGAAAAAAACCCTAGTGACAAAGTAAAATAATGTACATGGCATAAATTACTAGGATGGTCAAGAAATAGTCATTTTATTATAGAATCTAAAATTATTATTATTATTATTATTACTGGCCACACCACATGGCTTGTGGGATCTTAGGTCCCCGACCAGGGATCAAACCTCGGCACATGGCAGTGAAAGCACTAAGTCCCAACCACTGGACCAGGGAATTCCTAGAATCTAGATTTTAAATTCAAAGATTTCTACTGTGAGGAAGAAGTTCATGCCCACATTTTTAAAAAATGGAGTTATCAGCCACGAATTGGCTTCATAATGAAATTACCCATTATGTTAATTTATACTAGCAAACTAAATCAATAGATACTATTGTATCTGTACAATAGTCGGCAACTTACTTATGGGACAGGTTGTAAGGGGGTAATAGTGTATGGTAAAAATAACCACTGAAAACCCATAAAGAACACTCAGAAATTTAATCAATCAGGTGTTTCACTCCTTTGAATACTTAGTAAATTTACAAAAGTTTCAACTTGTTCTCTTCATGTCTTTCTTTGTAGAGGATTTTGTCAGTTTCTCTGATTTTTAAGTGTAGCTTCTCAACAACCTTCAAAAACCCTTGTAAATGACAAGGAAGTTCTCCCACCCAGTCGCCTGGCCATCTGAACATTTATCAATTACTAGGAGACCTTTAAAACCATCCTCACATTCTCTCTATAGCTTTCACCAATATGAACTGACTGTTTCAGATTTAATTTCATTCATTGCCTAGGACTCACTGAAAAGGAAGGCTGAATGTGCATGCACTGTGTAAAATGTTATTTTTCTCTCTCACTCTGTGTTTTAGTAGAGTTGTATTTGCATATAAGTTAAATGTGTAAATAATGTGATTCCACTATGTAGTTGATTTCACTGGGTAAGTTACCTTGGTGGTAACATGCTTATTATATAAAAAGGTTACGAAAGTTAACTCTTGGCTACTTTAGAAGCATTTCATGATCCATCCAAAAACTGCCCTTGTCACAATCAAGCAGAGATGCTGAGTGTTCTCCATGGTCAGTGCAAGTGGGCTTTTCTTCCTCAGAGGTGATCACCACCACTGATAGACAGCACCAGAAAGGAAGGGGAAGAAAGGGGCTTCTAAATTTCAGGCAAGACCTGGAACACAGAGAAAATAAAGGCAAATCCCCTAGAAAATTGTAACTAAACCCCACAAATATTACACAGAGTAAGCATTCAATCTAGCTGTCCTGAACAAAAATCATCACAAGTTAAAAATAATTTACATTAACTTTAGAAAAAGATAAACTATGTACTTCTGAAGATAATTACTGTTTAAGTAGAAAAGTTAAATGGAAAAATGGCTGAAAATATAGGAGAGGAATGGCTTGAGAAGGCAGTGGCATAGTAGATATGAAATGGGATGCTGCTCTGGATCTATCCTAGAATCACATAATTTTAGTATGGGAAAAGAATAAAGATATGGTAGGACTATATTTTCCAAACCAAATCACTTAATTTAATAAAGGATTTCTATAATACTTCCAGATGTGAAAAGAGCCTCAAACATTGTAATATGAGATATTTTTTACTTACGAACATTGAAGTCACAAGAGATTTGAAATCAATATTGTTCCAAAAAAGTCAGGCCATATATTTGGTGAATTTAGAGGTCTTCTAGTTCAAATCTCTTGTTAAAGAAATAAATACTAAAGACAAGAGCTCTTGGTTAAGCAACATACCCAAGGACAAATAGCTGGTTATGTGCAAACCCAGAACTTGAACCTGGATTTCCCAACTTTGTTTAGTTTCCTTCCTATGATGTCATTCTCATTCTTAAAACCCTTATTTGTCTATAAAAATTCAATTCTGTGGCACCATAAAAGCTTGTCAGAGAAATATTTATCTCAGAATGTAAGCTAAATAACAGCTGATATATGGATAATATATACCTTACCGGCAGCAAAATAAGAGGCTAACATGGGGCAAAAAACAATAAATAAATTCATGAATTTTCCTTCTGTTCAACCTTCTTTTCCAAAGGCTAAATGTTAAGTCATATTTTACAGCCTGATGTAGGTCTTTGTAGTTTAAAATGTTGTTTGAGTTTAGTGTGAAAAGCAATATGAACGCCATCCCAGACTGTGAAATACAAATAAATTTATTAATCGTTGTTTTAAATGGGGTTGTATAAAAGATGTAGCTTCATGAACAGAAAGGTCCAGAGTCGGGTGGAGAGTTTAGTTTTAGAATAGAGAGAATGAAATACTAGAAGTTAAAAAGGCTAGAATATTTTATTTCTATCTAACATTCCTTCCCCTCTACTGAGCAAATGACATGGTTATATAAGGCTCCTAGATACAGGCTATTAGAACTATCAAAGGATTAATTGTTGGGCTGAGCAAGATCAGTTAGACACTTCCCAACTCTTTTAGAGGCAAAAGGAGGGATAAGGAATTTGTTAAATTCACAAAGCAAATTGTATGCATTTCATATGAAGACTTCACTTCCCCCCAGTGATTTTACTGCTGTTTGGTCTACGTAAATCATACAATCTATATACAGTATAATAACAAGGAGCAGAGAAATAAACAAAGACTATTAAACTAGCTACTACAACAGCACTCAGATCCCTTTTTCAATCGATCAAGCATCCCATTTATGTCAGTGTTTTTTCCACTTAACAGGTAGCTCAGGTAAAGAATGCTACTTGAGTTATGGAGGAAGAGGCATTTAAAAATTTTTTTTAATTTTTTATTTTTGGCTGCGTTGGGTCTTCATTGCCACGTGAGCTTTCTCTAGTTGCGGCGAGCGGGGGCTACCCTTCGTTGCAGAGCACGGGCTCTAGGCACGTGGGTTTCAGTAGTTGTGGCTCAAGGGCTCTAGACTCAGGCTCAGTAGTTGTGGCGCACGGGCTTAGCTGCTCCGCGGCATGTGGGATCTTCCTGGCCCAGGGCTCGAACCCGTATCCCCTGCATTGGCAGTCAGATTCTTAACCACTGTGCCACCAAGGAAGTCCCGAAGAGGCATTTTTTTGACCCCAGCCCAAAACTCCAGATGCCCTTGCTCTTATTTTTTGCTCTAATTAATACTGACATGTCTTGTAGTTACCAGAAAATACTTTGTCCTCTCATGCATAGTGCACTTACATATGCTGTTTTCACTGTTTAGAAGAACCCTTTTCTGCTTCTCCACATTGTTAAGTTCCCATTTATCCAAGACTTGGGTCAAATGCTTCTTTTTCTGTGAAAACTTAAGGTGGTTTATTCACCTTCTGCACTTCATGGAAACTGATATTATATAGAATTATCTTGTAGTATAATTGTGTTTGTAATCTTTGACCTTACTAGAAGGTGAACTCCTTGAGATCAGAGGCCATTCATTGCCTTATGAGATACAGTATCCCCCCAATTGTCAGCACCTAATAGTCACTCAAATTTGCTGAATGGATACCTCCTATAAAACTTATTCTAAAATCATGGATGCTGTCAGATCTCACTTCCCCAAATGCTAGATGAAGGATCATATTAAGGTTTAGAAATAGCACCAGTAGTGCCCCCAATGAAGACACCCAGAACCTCCTGGGCTATATTTTTGGCCTGACTTTTCCTATTGTTCTGCCCTTTCAGAATCAGCCCAACTGCTCTATAGAATTGAGGGCTATTTTAGGTCATTCCGGGCAACTGCTGGGTGGCCCAATTACGCTACTTATCAAAACCTTAACAACCCCTGCCCTTGCTGGCCTTTGAGTAGGGCACATATATTAACTATAGCAGCCTTCTAGCTGGTAAAGCTGATGCTCGCTTTATTCCTACACAGCAATAAGTTTTCATGGCTATAAGGAGGCTTACAAAGCTACGATTGACTCCACAGCTCTTGCCGGTAACTAACTGGCCCTCTCAGTTCAGAGAGGGGGTTTAAATTCTTATGCTATGTAATTTTTGTTTGTTTGTTTCAAAGTCCCCACTAGGCCAGTTAGCTGCAGTTCATAACTGTCTTAAAATCAAGTTTTATTGCTACTCCTTCCTGTATGTAGTGGCACTTAAATGTTTATTAGGAAATTAATCTTTTATCGCCTTCCTGCTATATTTTAATGGGGTGAAATAACAGACATTTTAAGAATAAGACACATAAGTGTCTGGATTGTGTAAGGCTAAGGGATGTCAGATTTTGAGGATTATGGCCTTTGCACACACTCCCATAAGTCAGTATCTTTCACATTCAATCCTTTTAAGCTCAGCACCTGCTTATATCTAAAGGCTAGTATGAAGCATAACCTATTATTACTAATATAAGTGAAAGCTAACAGACATTATTAGACTATATGATATGCCGGGATCATTTTCTCTTATGCTCTGGTGGCAGGAGTCTGAAGAGATGGATTCTCTGTAGCTATGCTGTAGATAGCATAAAACGGCATGTCCTTTCTGAAAATCAATTTGGCAATATGGATGAAGAGTTCTAAATATGTTCATGATCTTTCAGTCAGCAACTGTATTTCCAAGAATCTGTCTTAAGGAACTTGGAGATGAAGATAAATATTTATGTATATAAAAGTCCAACATGTGAGTCTTTACTATCAAAGCATTATAATGCATAATAAATAAAGAATGTTAAATTATGGTATGGTCATATATTGGAATACATGTAGACATTTAGACTGACAATTAAGAAGAATTTTTTAATGACATGAAACAATTTTTATAATATAATACTATTTGGAAAAGGAAGGATTCCAAATCGTACATCTAACTGTAGTCTCAGATATACTAAATATATATGCATATAAAGATAGGAAAGAAATATAAGACTAATAGTAGTTATTTCTTTGTAGTGGAGTTATGACTGAA